AAGGGCAGCTGGCGTGTGGTCGCTGGGCTGCATACAATATGGAATGTTGTTGGGTCACATGGGCTTTCACCGCTTTATCACCTATCTGAGGAAGTGGTACAAGCATATGCAGCCAGACGCCATACTGTATAGAATGCAGCCCAAGGACCACACGTCCGCTGCCTCTCTCACCTCCCCAGCACCCGCACCAAGCCCACTGCGCTGTGCCTTACCTGCCGTGCGGCGCAGACCTCCGGAGCCATGTAGGCCTCTGGTTGACTTAAGAAAGAGGTGGTGGGGAGAGAAGCCAAAGGTGATTGCGATGTGAGAAAGAACGATCTGGTTCTCATATCTCGAATGCCTTGTGTGTGCTCCCCCCGCGCCCTCCCCCCCTTGCCTCCCCGTCCCCAACAGCCCCATTGGTTGACTCACAATTAGAGGTGGGGGAAGAGAGCTACAGGCGATTTTGATACACCATGGGAGTGGCGGAGGGATGTGCAGAGATGCCAAGAGGTATGCAGAAAGATGTAGAGAGGATTGCAGAGGTGTGCAAAGCGGTGCAGAGAGGTGCGCAGAGGTGTATCACATTGATTGAAGTGGGTATCCATTGCCGTGCTGGGGGAGGTGGCTCTAGTATTTTTAGAATCCTAAGAAAACACCTGCAGCAAGTGGGTAACGATTGCTGTGAGGGGAGGTGGCACTTGTGCACCCCTGAGGCACCTCACAAGAGATGAGCTTCTCCACTAGACTGAGTTTTTTCAGAATTTCCAGAAATCTAACGCTGCACCCTTGAGGCGCCTCGCAAGAGGTGAGGTTTTTTCACGTGACTAGAATGCAACCTGGCAGCCCTGCACGTCATCTGCTTCACCAAGGGGTGCAATGTGGGCCAGGAGCTAACAGTTAGGACACAACACGTGACTGCTATAGGGCGTGGTGCGCAAGCAACTCATGCCTCTGCTGTTTCTGCCTCCCGCTTCCCCACCACCAGGCGAGGCTCTTCCCCTGGAGTGCAACCTGGCAGCCCTGCATGCCATCAGCTTCACCAAGGGGTGTTATGTGGGCCAGGAGTTGACCGCACGGACTTACCACAGGGGGGTGGTGTGCAAACGACTCATGCCAGTCCGATTCGTACCGCTTGAGTCAAAGGGGGAAGGAGGTGGGGATGGGGGTGGGGAGGTGCAGGGCGCAGAGGGCGGGGGAGAGTGGGGAGGGAATGGTGGCGGGGAGGTGCAGGGTGCAGAGGGCGGGGGAGAGTGGGGAGGGAATGGTGGCGGGGAGGGGGGAGGGAATGGTGGTGGGGAGGCAGCAGTGTTTCCAGGCGCGGAGATTGTTGAGACGAGTTCTAGGAAGGTTGTTGGTCGTGTGAATGCGGTGCAGTATGGTTCTGATGGGTCTGGTCCGGCTGCCGGTGGTGATGCTGGTTCTGCTGATGCTCCTGGTGAGGTGGTTGGACTAGCGCTGCTGCGGTTGGCACATGGGCTCAACCCGGGGTCACAGCTAGCAGTGAAGGCCGAGAGTGGGGCAGTTCTAAAAGTTTTGCGCAGCCGCCCGTACTGGTGGCCCGTGGAGTGGGGCAGCAAGGAGAAATGATTTCGAGTGGAGATTGGTGGGGTGCCATTGGTCGGGTGTTGGTGATTGGTGGAGGGTTGGCGAAAGTGGCTACTGTCTTACTGCTGCACTTGTAAGCTACACTAGGTGTACCATATGCACTTGTAGGATGGCTGAAAACAGAAAGATTTCTTGTGGAAAAGCATGGCATATTGTAGTTGCATGCAAGCACCTATCCTAACCATTTTATGTTATGCACATGCCAGCCTGAGTACCTTCTGGAAAGGGGACTGGAAAGGAAACTTCTCTGCTCATTGCACTCTCGTTTTGTGTATGTTCCATCGCACACCGCACCTTTCTCATGCCACTCTAGAAGATAAGGTAGTAACACAATTGTTGGGGAGGAAAATACAATTCTTTGTTACAAAGCTATTGCTTCCAGTGAAGTACAGTATAAGTTGCATTTCAGCGAAGTAAACCAGAGAAAAATTCTTCTATCAGCGCACAGGGAAGGCCCTACTTCGGCACGGTAACGTTAAGAATCTTAATATCTTCGTACGGCTTGTCGTTACGGTCCACTTTGGCCTTCTCGATGAGCTGCAGGGGAGAGGGGAGAAGGGGGAGGAGAAAGGGCAGAAAGGAAGGGCACATGCATCTGAGATACCATCTTTTAGGTGCCTCAAAAGAAGGCTTGTCGTTAGGGTCCACTTTCACCTTTTCAATGAGCTAAGGCGATGGCAGAGGGGAGAGAGGGGAGGTGGAAGGGGGAGAAGGGGGGAGGAGGGGGGAGAAGGGGGGAGGAGGGGGGAGAAGGGGGAGGAGGGGGGAGAAGGGGGGAGAAGGGGGGAGAAGGGGGAAAGTGGGGACGGGGAGAAAACGTGAGAGAAAGGAAATGATTACAATAATAATTAGTATTTGATGCTGGTTCATGGTGCAGCAGTCACCATGCATGGCCTTGTCTAAAACACTGTTACAAGAAACACCATAAACCATGCACCATCTACTGTGTACATCAAATTACTGGCACAAAATGTAGAAACGAATTCCCCTTAACGGCATGCCCAAACACAGTATAGTGTTGTGGAGGCAATGCGTGCCCAAAACGACTTCCCCTTACTCGTTGTGGAGGCAACGCGTGGCAATAGTGGACACACGTGGCAACGCGTGGCCATAGTAAGATGGTTTGATGATCACTCGTACATCTTGTGGACACACCCACCCAAACCAACCACTCTCACTCACCTGTACAACATCCATTCAGCCTTAACCACATGCCTAAACACAGCATGCTTGTTGTCGAGCCACGGCGTGGCAACTGCGGTGACGAACAAACCCATGCATACACCGTGCCAACCCCCCTGCCCTTCCCTCCCCCCCCCCAACCCCCTCCTCACCTGTGCATCGACCATGCCCTTGGTGATTTTTGAGTCGACTCAAAAACCCCCCCCCAACCCCCTGCTCACCTGCATAACGTCCATGCCCTTCACGACGCGCCCAAACACAGTGTGCTTGTTGTCCAGCCAAGGCGTTGCAACAGTGGTGATGAAAAACTGGCTGCCGTTGGTGTTGGGCCCGGCATTTGCCATGGAGAGTGTGAACGGGCGATCGTGACGCAGACTGCCGGGGGAGGGAGGGGGAAGGGGAGGATATTTTTGAGAATTCTAAAAAATACCCTGCAAACTAAAGGGAGGGGGAAGGGGAGGAGATGAGGGGGGGAAGAGACAGACAGAGCCAGGTTGGGAGCTTCTTGGCCATGGCTAGAGTGAACCTTCGATCGAGTTTTGAGGCGCCTCAAAGATAGAGTGAACCTTCGATCGAGACGCAAACTGCAGGGTAAGGGAGGGCGGAGCAGAGGGAATGGGGTGGAGAGGAGATATATGGAGCCCAGGCTGTTGGTAGTGTGAACAGTGATCATTTTGCAGTCTGCAATGGGTGTCGTGGTACCCATTAGATTCATCCCTCTCTTTCTCCTCTCATTCTCTCCCGCTCTCTCAGACACAGACACAGACACAGACAGACACGCACGCACACACACATGCACAAACACAGACACCCCACAAGCTCTTGTGAAACTCTCCTCAAACTTGCCTCTGGCCGGCCAAGACCACTTACTTGCTGTGCCACAGACCCGTCTCAGTGGGCTGAACTCAAATCTGTGAAACTCTGCGTTTGTTGTGACGGTTTGGTTCCAGCGCTTGCTCCGCTCTTCCGCCAGGAGCTGACGTCACTGAGCCTTTCAGCCAACCATGCGACCAGATGTAACATTTGGAGCCACGCTGGTGGTTACCATGCTCCTATTGCTGCTGCAGCTGATGCGCCTGGTGGCATTCAAGCTTCAAGCACCAAGTTTGGTTTCCTAAAGGAGCAGTCTTGCAGCAGAGTGGTGCTTCCGACCAAACAGAGCATTTCAGGATTCCGCATTATTCAAGCGGAGACACTCATAGACTCCCTCATTTCCATGCACCCTTCTCCCACATTCTGTTTCCCCGCACTCTCTTCCTCATTCTCTTCCGCTTATTCCCGCCTCCTCTCACTTCACCTGGATCAGTGCCCCGACCCCGCTCTCCCTCCCTCTTTCCTCCCCTCTCTCACTCACCTGACTGCCCTTTCCTTCACCCACTGCCGCCATTTAAAGCCCTGCCGCTTACCGTCAACCTCGCCCTCACATCCCTTCACATGCATTCCTGCCATGCTGTGGACTCCCTCCCCCCTGAAGCCCTCTGTCTGCCGGCACTCAGGTCCCTGCGTCTCACCAACTGCATGAGACTGGAAAGTGTCGGAAAAGATAGTGGAAGTGTGGGGAATGTGTGGGTTGCTGGTGGGAGTGGTGACGGCTGCAGCAGCCCGCTTGCGATACGGGAGGTGACGTTGCGGGGATATGGTGGGTTGCAGTATGTCAATTGGGAGCTTTTATTGTGGAAGACTCTGCAGGGTTTGGCTGAAGTGATGGTTGATGTGAATGTGGAAGGATGCCTGGAGTTGAGGGGCATGGAGAATGTCATGCGTATGCTGGGGAAGACTTTTGGTAGTACGCTTGTTCTTCGAGATGGATCAACTTGGAACTCCAAGGCAGGACCTTTGTGCCAAAGCCCAGCTGGCGAGGCATTTGGTGGTGGGAATAGATGCGTTATGATCCAGATGTAAATGATGTATAAAATGGAGAGTTGTGTAATGTTGGTTCTGTAAGTGATGCGAGCCTTTGATAGACACATTTCTCCATCATGGAACCTTGTGACATGAGGATGGCACTTAAACATCCTTTGACATTGCTAGTAGTAATTGCAAGCGGGGCTGTCATTACAATGGTCGAATTCACCTCCAAGTCCCAGTGCATGCTTGCCACGTGGCGAGTTCAGCAGCCATTGGCCGCCTTCCAGTTTGTTTGGCTGTCCTCGTTATGCGATTTTCGAATTCCGTCACCATCCGCGCTATGTTAGCGAGGTTCCAATTCCAATTCGTTAGGCGCTCCGTCCTAAGCAGGCTCGCATTACCCTCGTACCGGTAATAACTTGGGCATCTAGTGGACTCTTCGATTAGCGTCGGCCTTTCATCAGCTCTTGTTGAACCTTTAAGCCAAAGGGATTAAGGCATCAGCGTACAATCCGTTTCCTGAAGCCACACGTCATGAAGGCGCTCACGGCATCGCTGCCCCGCATAGCGAGGCGCACTGTTGTGAGTCAAAATTCTTCAAGCGTCAGCCCGTGGAATATGTATCCGCTGCTCCTGTCGCGATTCGCAGCCGTCGGCGCCGCGTCATCGAGGCGCGATCATGACACCGCCGTGTCAGCGGCGGGGGAAACGTTCGGCGCGGGAAGCGCCGGAGGCGCGGATCCGAAGGCAGAGGAGCGTGAGGCGTCGCGGAGCAACCCCATGGCTGCGCGGCTCCGCAGCCGAGGCGTAATCCGATTCGACGGTCGCGATGCCATCAACTTCCTTCAGGGCCTGCTGACGAATGACGTCACCAGCTTCCTCCAGCAGAATCCCCCTCTGGCTTCTCCCCTCCCCACGCCAAATCAGCCCGCCAGCGTGCGCCCGCCCGTCTACTCCGCTCTTCTCTCCCCGCAAGGACGATTCCTCTTTGATCTGTTCCTGTACCGGCCGCCACACCAGGTAAGGCACCTTCTCCTCTCTTCATGGGCCCAATTCGCCAGCCTCCTCCAGCAGAATCCCCCTCTGGCTTCTCCCCTCCCCACGCCAAATCAGCCCGCCAGCGTGCACCCGCCTGTCTACTCCGCTCTGCTTTCCCCTCAAGGGACGTTTCTATATTACCTGTTTCTGTACCGGCCAACTCACAAGGTGCTACACTTTGTCCTCGTTAGTGCGTCCGCCCTTCCCTCAAGGCCGATTATTAAAATGCCTGTTCTTGTACCGACCGCTTTTCAACGCAAGTCTCTCACTCCCGGACTCCCTCTCCCTCCCCCTCTCACTCTCACTCCCACCCACTCCTCTTCTCCCTCTCCCCTCCCTCGAACCCACTCCTCCTCCCCCTCCCTCTCCCTCTCACTCTCACTCCCTCCTTTTCCCCATTCAGGTTGCAGCATCCAGTCACCTGCATCCAGTCACCTGCATCCAGTCACCTGCATCCAGTCACCTGCATCCAGTCACCTGCATCCAGTCACCTGCATCCAGTCACCTCCATCCAGTCACCTGGATCCAGTCACCTGCATCCAGTCACCTGCATCCAGTCACCTGCATCCAGTCACCTGCATCCAGTCACCTGCATCCAGTCACCTGCATCCAGTCACCTGGATCCAGTCACATGCATCCAGTCACCTGCATCCAGTCACCTGCATCCAGTCACCTGCATCCAGTCACCTGCATCCAGTCACCTGCATCCAGTCACCTGCGTCCAGTCACCTGCGTCCAGTCACCTGCATCCAGTCACCTGGATCCAGTCACCTGCGTCCAGTCACCTGCATCCAGTCACCTGCATCCAGTCACCTGCATCCAGTCACCTGCATCCAGTCACCTGCATCCAGTCACCTGCATCCAGTCACCTGCATCCAGTCACCTGCATCCAGTCACCTGCATCCAGTCACCTGCATCCAGTCACCTGCATCCAGTCACCTGCATCCAGTCACCTGCATCCAGTCACCTGCATCCAGTCTCCTGCATCCAGTCACCTGGATCCAGTCACCTGCATCCAGTCACCTGCATCCAGTCACCTGCATCCAGTCACCTGCATCCAGTCACCTGCATCCAGTCACCTGGATCCAGTCACCTGCATCCAGTCACCTGCATCCAGTCACCTGCATCCAGTCACCTGCATCCAGTCACCTGCATCCAGTCACCTGCATCCAGTCACCTGCATCCAGTCCCTGCATCCAGTCACCTGCATCCAGTCACCTGCATCCAGTCACCTGCATCCAGTCACCTGCATCCAGTCACCTGCATCCAGTCACCTGCATCCAGTCACCTGCATCCAGTCACCTGCATCCAGTCACCTGCATCCAGTCACCTGCATCCAGTCACCTGCATCCAGTCACCTGCATCCAGTCACCTGCATCCAGCACCTGCATCCAGTCACCTGCATCCAGTCACCTGCATCCAGTCACCTGCATCCAGTCACCTGCATCCAGTCACCTGCATCCAGTCACCTGCATCCAGTCACCTGCATCCAGTCACCTGCATCCAGTCACCTGCATCCAGTCACCTGCATCCAGTCACCTGCATCCAGTCACCTGCATCCAGTCACCTGCATCCAGTCACCTGCATCCAGTCACCTGCATCCAGTCACCTGCATCCCAGTCCCTGCTCCAGTCCCTGCATCCAGTCACCTGCATCCAGTCACCTGCATCCAGTCACCTGCATCCAGTCACCTGCATCCAGTCACCTGCATCCCAGTCACCTGCATCCAGTCACCTGCATCCAGTCACCTGCATCCAGTCACCTGCATCCAGTCACCTGCATCCAGTCACCTGCATCCGTCCCTGCATCCAGTCACCTGCATCCAGTCACCTGCATCCAGTCACCTGCATCCAGTCACCTGCATCCAGTCACCTGCATCCCACCGTCACCTGCATCCAGTCACCTGCATCCAGTCACCTGCATCCAGTCACCTGCATCCAGTCACCTGCATCCAGTCACCTGCATCCCAGTCACCTGCATCCAGTCACCTGCATCCAGTCCACCTGCATCCAGTCACCTGCATCCAGTCACCTGCATCCAGTCACCTGCATCCAGTCACCTGCATCCAGTCACCTGCATCCAGTCACCTGCGTCCAGTCACCTGCATCCAGTCACCTGCATCCAGTCACCTGCATCCAGTCACCTGCATCCAGTCACCTGCATCCAGTCACCTGCATCCAGTCACCTGCATCCAGTCACCTGCATCCAGTCACCTGCATCCAGTCACCTGCATCCAGTCACCTGCATCCAGTCACCTGCATCCAGTCACCTGCATCCAGTCACCTGCATCCAGTCACCTGCATCCAGTCACCTGCATCCAGTCACCTGCATCCAGTCACCTGCATCCAGTCACCTGCATCCAGTCACCTGCATCCAGTCACCTGCATCCAGTCACCTGCATCCAGTCACCTGCATCCAGTCACCTGCATCCAGTCACCTGCATCCAGTCACCTGCATCCAGTCACCTGCATCCAGTCACCTGCATCCAGTCACCTGCATCCAGTCACCTGCATCCAGTCACCTGCATCCAGTCACCTGCATCCAGTCACCTGCATCCAGTCACCTGCATCCAGTCACCTGCATCCAGTCACCTGCATCCAGTCACCTGCATCCAGTCACCTGCATCCAGTCACCTGCATCCAGTCACCTGCATCCAGTCACCTGCATCCAGTCACCTGCATCCAGTCACCTGCATCCAGTCACCTGCATCCAGTCACCTGCATCCAGTCACCTGCATCCAGTCACCTGCATCCAGTCACCTGGATCCAGTCACCTGCATCCAGTCACCTGCATCCAGTCACCTGCATCCAGTCACCTGCATCCAGTCACCTGCATTCCAGTCACCTGCATCCAGTCACCTGCATCCAGTCACCTGCATCCAGTCACCTGCATCCAGTCACCTGCATCCAGTCACCTGCATCCAGTCACCTGCATCCAGTCACCTGCATCCAGTCACCTGCATCCAGTCACCTGCATCCAGTCACCTGCATCCAGTCACCTGCATCCAGTCACCTGCATCCAGTCACCTGCATCCAGTCACCTGCATCCAGTCACCTGCATCCAGTCACCTGCATCCAGTCACCTGGATCCAGTCACCTGCATCCAGTCACCTGCATCCAGTCACCTGCATCCAGTCACCTGCATCCAGTCACCTGCATCCAGTCACCTGCATCCAGTCACCTGCATCCAGTCACCTGCATCCAGTCACCTGCATCCAGTCACCTGCATCCAGTCACCTGCATCCAGTCACCTGCATCCAGTCACCTGCATCCAGTCACCTGCATCCAGTCACCTGCATCCAGTCACCTGCATCCAGTCACCTGCATCCCAGTCACCTGCATCCAGTCACCTGCATCCAGTCACCTGCATCCAGTCACCTGCATCCAGTCACCTGCGATCCAGTCACCTGCGATCCAGTCACCTGCATCCAGTCACCTGCATCCAGTCACCTGCATCCAGTCACCTGCATCCAGTCACCTGCATCCAGTCACCTGCATCCAGTCACCTGGATCCGGCTGGCGCTACTCCAAATTCAAAATGCTAACCGGCTTCCCTCATCCTTCCCTTACCGCCTTCCCTCATCCTTCCCTTACCGCCTTCCCTCATCCTTCCCTTACCGCCTTCCCTCATCCCTCACTCCTAACGCTCTCCTTTCCCCCCCTTCACGATGCAGGATCCAGTCCTCTCTGGATTCCTCTGGCGCCCGTCAAGATCCAACAAGATGGTTACCAGCTCTTCCCATCCTTTACCCCAACCTGCCCCTTCATTGCAGGACGCTGTATCTAGTCGCCTGGATTCCTCTGGAGGCGGTCCAGATACGGGGCACCCAGACGCACCTGAGCTGCTGGCGGATGTAGATGCAGCGAACCTGGACGACCTGCTGGCGCATCTGAAGAAGTGAGCCCTTTTCCCTCATTTTGCAGGAGTGTGATTTCTTCCAAAATGTTCACTTGGTTATTTGCCCTCCTCCCTCCTCAAATCCCCTTCCCCTTTCACCTCTCCACCCTTCCCCTCTTCCCCCTCCCCCCCCCAGGCACAAGCTCCGTGCGAACGTGTCGTTTGCTGACGTGTCGTCTGACATGGCAGTGTGGGCCCACTTCCACTCGCGCCTCTCCTCAGACCCGGCGTTACCCGACGAGGCGGCAGCAGGAGAAGGCGTGGGGTGGGGCGGGCGGGTGGATCAAGTGGGAGAGCTGACAGCAGAGGCTACCATGGAGGGGTGGCGGTGGCACCGGGACCCGAGGCAGCCAGGATTGGGCTTGAGGGGGCTTTTCCCTGCCAGTGAAATACGTGAGTGACCAGCAGGGATGGGTGGGGAGGGCGTGGGGTGGGGGGCCGGGTGGACCAGTTGGGAGAGTTGGCAGCAGTGGCTATCAGGGAAGGGTGGCGGTGGCACAGAGACCCCAGGCTGCCTGGGTTGGAGTTGAGGGGTCTCTAACCAACTGGGGGATTGGGAGGGCGTGGGGTGGGACGGGGGCGGGTGGACCAGTTGGGAGAGCTACCAGTTGTGAGAAAACAAAATTCGTAATCAACCAACAAGGCGGCAGGGGGGAGGGGGTGGAGTTGGGTTGGGGTGGGGGCGACGGGCGGATGGATCGTGGGAGAGCTGACAGCAGAAGTAACGAGGGAAGGATGGTGGTGGCACAGGCATCCAGGGCTGCCTTTTTTGAGGTGCCTCAAGCCTCAAAACAAGGATGGCGGTGGCACAGGCATCCAGGGCTGCCAGGATTGGGGCTCGAAGGCTCCTTTCCTGCCAGGGTAATCCATGAGTAACCAGTTCGGTTGGGAGGTCGGGGGTGTGGGGGAAATAGAAGAGCACACAAAGCACAGCCCAGTAAGTCTGCGCTGCACGGTAGCACAAAGCACAGCCCAGTAAGTCTGCGCTGCACGGCAGCACAAAGCACAGCCCAGTAAGTCTGCGCTGCACGGCAGCACAAAGCACAGCCCAGTAAGTCTGTGCTGCACGGCAGCACAAAGCACAGCCCAGTAAGTCTGCGCTGCACGGCAGCACAAAGCACAGCCCAGTAAGTCTGCGCTGCACGGCAGCACAAAGCACAGCCCAGTAAGTCTGCGCTGCACGGCAGCACAAAGCACAGCCCAGGAAGTCTGCGCTGCACAGCAGCACAAAGCACAGCCCAGTAAGTCTGCGCTGCACGGCAGCACAAAGCACAGCCCAGTAAGTCTGCGCTGCACGGCAGCACAAAGCACAGCCCAGTAAGTCTGGCGCGGGTGACTTACATGGCAGCACTTACAAGCCTGCGCTGCACGGCAGCACAAAGCACAGCCCAATAAGCCTGGCGCGGGTGCTTTGCGGATGGGAGAGGCAGCAGACGTGTGGTTGCTGGGCTGCATGCTGTGCTGGATGGGGTTTGGTTACACGGGCTTCCGCTGCTTCATCACCGATCTGGGGAACAGGTAGAAGCGTGTGCTCGTCGAAAAGCTCGTCTAAGGGGAACAGGTGCGACCAAACACCGTCCTGTACAGAATGCAGCCCAACGAGCACACGTCCGCTGCATCTCTCAATCCCACAGTACCCGCACCAGTCCCACTGCGCTGTGCCTTACCTGCCATGCGGCGTAGAGCCATGAAGGCCTCGGGTAGACTCACTAATAGAGGTGGGGAGAGAAAGATCCGGGCGATTGCGATACACAACAATGTAGGTTCTCACATATCAAACGCCTTGTGTGTGCTCCCCCCGCCCCCTCCCTCCCCTTCTTCCTACTCCCCACAACAGCCCCACTGGTTGACTCACAAATAGAGGTGGGGGAAGAGAGCTACCGGCGATTCCGATACATGATGGGAGTGGCGGAGGGATGTGCAGAGATGCCAAGAGGTACGCAGAGTGATGCAGAGGGTGCCAGGGGTAAGCAGCGTGGTGCAGAGAGGTGCGCAGAGGTGCATCACATTGATTGAAGTGGATTTCCATAGCAGTGAGGGCGGGTGGCACTTACTGCTCCCTTGAGGCGCCTCACAAGAGGCGATGTAATTTATCGCTAGACTAAGATGCAATTTGGCAGCCCTGTTTTCCATCAGGTTCACCAAGGGACACTTCTTGGCCAGGAGTCTATTTTTTAGGCGCCTCAAGAATACTTCTTGGCCAGGAGTCTATTTTTAGGCGCCTCAAGGATACTTCTTGGCCAGGAGTCTATTTTTGAGGCGCCTCAAGGATACTTCTTGGCCAGGAGCTCACTCACCACTTGACCTCCATGCCCCCTCCCCTTTGCACCAGGCGAGGCCCTTCCCCTGGAGTGCAACCTGGCAGCCCTGCAAGCCATCAACTTCACCAAGGGCTGCTATGTGGGCCAGGAGCTTACACACTTCCCCCACCCCCCTCCAACCCCCCCTTGCTTTCTGCTCCTACGTGGTCAGGAGCTGACAGCACAAGCCCCTCCATGCCCACCTCTGCCCCTCCATGCCCACCTCTGCCCCTCCATGCCCACCTCTGCCCCTCCATGCCCACCTCTTCCCCTCCATGCCCACCTCTGCCCCTCCATGCCCCTGTCTATGCCCCCTTCCCCCTTGCTCCAGGTGAGGCCCTGCTGTTAGAGTGCAACCTGGCAGCCGTGCATGCCGTCAGCTTCACCAAGGGGTGCTATGTGGGCCAGGAGCTCACTGCACGGACGCACCACTTGACCTCCATGCCCCCCTCCATGCCCCCCTCCGTGCCCCCCTCCGTGCCAACACCCCCTTGCACCAGGTGAGGCCCTTCCACTAGAATGCAACCTGGCAGCCCTGCACGCCGTCAGCTTCACCAAGGGCTGCTATGTGGGCCAGGAGCTCACCGCCCGCACTCACCACCGGGGCGTGGTGCGCAAACGACTCATGCCAGTCCGTTTCTTGAAAGAAGGAGAAGGGGGAGGGCAGGGAGCCGCAGAAGGGGGTGGCAAAGCTAGTGAGGAGGCTGGTGGGAAGAGTGATGGGAGGGTTACAGTGCCAGAAGGAGCTGAGATAGTTGAGATGAGCTCTGGGAAGGCAGTTGGTCGTGTGAATGCGGTGCAGTACGGTTCTGATGGGTCTGGTTCGGCTGCGGGTGGTAATGCTGGTTCTGCTGATACTCCTAGTGAGGTGGTTGGATTGGCTCTGCTGCGGTTGGCACATGGGCTCAACCCCGGGTCACAGCTTGCAGTGAAGGGGGAGAGTGGGGCAGCTCTGAAAGTTTTGCCCAGCCGCCCGTACTGGTGGCCCATGGAGTGGGGCAGCGAGGAGAAATGATCCTAGTGGAGATTGGTGGCGTGCTATTCGTCGGGTGTTGGTGATGGGTGGAGAGGGTTGGGCCAAGTGGGTACTGTTTTACTGCTTCACTTGTGAGCTTCACAAGGTGCTGGATGAACACAGCATACACACATGTATGCTGGATGAACATAGAACTCTTTCTCGTGGTAAAGCATGGCATATGGTAGTTGCAAGCAAGATTCTAACCTAACCGATAATGTCATGCACGTACCATAGTCAGTATACCTTCAGCTGATTTTTTTGTCGACTCATGAATCACTCAAAAGTCGACTAAAAAATCACCAGTGTCTGTGTAGCAGGCCTTATTTTATCAGAGTAAATCACTCTGTTTCTCTGAAAATCAGAGTCGTTTTTGAAAACCACTCTGATGGTCCTGGGTAATTTTTTGAAAGTACATGTTTTCTCTGATTTATCAGAGTTGGTCTATGTACCACCCTGAGGAATTTTCAATAGGGGGTATGCTCCCTTATTTTTTCCTGTACTCCCTGTATTGGTGAAGTCCTCCAGCTGCAAGTCACACCCCTCCCATACCCCTCGCAACCTTTATGATTTTGGCGAAGTCCTCGGCAACCAGTCACACGTGTTAGAATGCAAGAATGAACTAGAAAGAGAGAGTACAGGGGTATATAGCCTAGTGTGCTGTACCCTCTAAGGCACAAACTGTCGAACATATCTATAACTCATGTTTGTATAGACTGTATAGGGTCACCTCTTACAGGGTACAACACTCTTAGGTATATACCCTTGTACTCTCATTCTATTCAACCAATTCTTCAGTTCTAAGATGGTATCAGCAGTAGGTAGGTCCCCCCGCCCGCCCACGCTTCCGCCCTAGGATCTACCCCCGTCCGTCGCGCCCCCTAGGCCCCGTCGCGTCACCTAGGACCAGTCGCGCCCCCCCCCCCCCCCCGGGCCCCGTCGCGCCCCCTGGGCCCCGTCGCGCCCTCCCTGGGCCCGTCGCGCCCCCCTAGCACCCGTCACGCCCCCCCCTGGGCCCCCCGTTTGTGCCTCCTGGCCCCGTCGCGCGCCTCCTAGCCCGTCGCGCCTCTCCTAGCCCGTCGCGCCTCCTAGCCCGTCGCGCCTCCTAGCCCGTCGCGCCTCCTAGTCCGTCGCGCTTCCTAGCCCGTCGCGCCTCCTAGCCCGTCGCGCCTCTCCTAGACCGTCCCAGCCGGCCCCGCAACCGTCCCAGCCGGCCCCGCGACCGTCCCAGCCAGCCTCGCGACCGTCCCAGCCGGCCCTGCGACCGTCCCAGCTGGCCCCGCGACCGTCCCAGCCGGCCCCGCGACCGTCCCAGCCGGCCTCGCGACCGTCCCAGCCGGCCCCGTGCCCATCCCAGCCGGCCCCGCGACCGTCCCAGCCGGCCCCGTGCCCCTCCCAGCCGTCCCTGCACCTGTTCCAGCCGGCCCCGCGACCGTCCCAGCCGGCCCCGCGCCCGTCCCAGCCGGCCCCGCGATCGTCTCAGCCGGCCCCGTGCCCCGTCCCGGCCGCCCCAGCACCTGTCTCCGCCGGACCCGTGCCCCGTCCAGGCCGCCCCTGCACCCGTCCCAGCCGGCCCCGCGCCTGTCCCAGCCGGCCCCGTGCCCGTCCCAGCCGGCCTCGCGCCCGTTCCAGCCGGCCCCGCGCCCGTCCCTGCCGGTCCCGCGCCCGTCCCCGCCGGCGCCCGCGCTCGTCCCGGCCGGCCCCGCGTCGACTTCCGGCCCTTCCTCGCCGGCCCTACGACCGTCCGATCTGCTCTCTCCCTGGTACGGTTCTCCACCACCTTTCACCGCACTGTACCGCACTGCACCGCACCGCACCGCACAGCACCGCACTGTACTGTACTGCACCGCACTACACCGCACTGTACCGCACTGCACCGCACTGCATCGCACTGCACTGCACTGCACCGCCCTGTATCGCATGCACCGCCTAGCACTGCCCTGCACTGCACTGTTCCTGATGGCGGCGGGGCTTCGCTTCGACGCTGAAGGCCAGCCTCTTGAGTTCGAGGCGTGGCTTGCTGACCTCCGCCGCCACCTCACTGGCCAGCGGCAGGATGGTCACTCGCTTTCGGCACACCTTGACGGTACGCTTCCCTGCCCAGACCCTCCTGCTGTGCTGCCTGCTGACCCCACATCTGCTGAGCGCGAGTCTACTGCCGCTGCTGCCCTTGCTCGCTCTGTCTGGCTTTCCCGAGACGCTGTCGCGCAGCTTGCCATTAGCAATGCCCTACCCCTGTCTGAGCATCCCCGCTTTAGGTCTATCTCTACCGCTCAGGCCTTCTTAGATGCTATCATCAAGCGCTATTCCACCCCGCCTGCTGCATCCGTGGGTCGCCTGATCCTCCCGATGCTCTTTCCTGACCTTGCGTCTTTCCCCACTGTCGCGGACCTAGCTGCCCACCTGCGCACTATAGACGAGACCTGGCGCACTGCCTGCACTGACGCACAGCTTAGAGCCCACCAGCCGCCCATGTCCTCTACCCTCTACCTGCTTGCCACCCGCCTCCCTGACCGCCTTGCCGCCGCTCGCGACCAGTTCCTTAGCATTCACCCTGGTGAACTCACCCTCACAGACTTTGAAGACACCCTGACTGTGATTGAGACCCGCCACCGCTCTATCCCCAGGCGAGCGCTACTGTGCCGGTCCCTATCTTTCAGGGTTGTGCCCCTTCTCAGTGCACCTTCTCTGATGGTTCTGCCGCTGTGGCTGAGACCGCTGCCGCAGCGCAGTGCCGTCCGGGAAAGGGACACCGCCCCAAGGCTGGGCGCGGCGAGGGAGGCGGGGGTGCCGGTGGAGGTGGTGGTGGAGGCGGGCCGTCTGGTGCTCCAGCGGACGAGGGGACCCCGCCCGCTCCAGCTGAGCAGCCGCCTCCGCCGTCGCAGCAGCAGCAGCAGCCGTCGCACCAGCCGCAGCCGCCGCCGCAGCCGCAGCAGCCGCAGCAGTCGCAGCAGTTGAGGCAAGCGAGTGCCCTCCCGCCCGGGTGGCCTGGAGCTGGTGGTGGCCGTGCGCGTGGTGGTGTGCCGAGTGGTGGTTCCGGAGGCGTGCGCTGTCAGTACCAGATCCAGACCGGTCCTCACCGCGGCTTCGTTTGCGGTAAGATCGGTCATTCCACTCCTCGCTGTTTTCGTCGCCTGGACGACCTGTTCCGTCAGCGCTTCGGCCCGTCGCCCGACCTCCCGGACTGGCACAGTTTGCTTAGTCGTAGGGTTCAGATTTTTGACTTGGACATGGATGCCATTGTAGCCGCCCTGCATGTGATGTATGCTGATGACGCTATTGTGCTTCCCTCTTATTACCCCTTGTTGCCTAGTGTAGGAGTGCCTAGCTAAGACTCCCCTGTTGCGTCAGGCGTAGGATCTCCTGCTTTGTTTAGCCTCGGTGCTTCCGCCATTTCTCCGCCGCCAGACGCCACTGCTGCGCTTTCCTTCACCTTGGACTCTGGCGCTTCCCGGTGTTTCTTCCGCGACTCCACGACGCTGACGCCGCTTCCTGTTCTTGCTGCAGTTTCTCTTGCTGACCCCTCTGGCGGTCCGGTAGTCGCCCGCAGTTCCACCACCCTTCCCTGTCCGGCGGTTCCTTCGGGCTCTCTCACAGGTCTGCATATACCCTCGTTCTCCAGGAACCTAGTTGGTGTCGGCTGCCTCCAGGACCTTGGCGTCACCACTACGTTCCCTGGTCACGAGCGGTATGCTGTCTGTACCGAGGCCGCCACTGGTGCCCCCCTTACCACGTTCCCTCGGGACCCGGTGTCCGGCCTGTTCACACTGGACACCGTGACCCCGCCGGCTGGGGCGTCCCCCCAGGTGGCTGTGTCTACCCAGGTTGCTGCTGCTTGCTCTTGTCGGTCCCTCACCCACCCAACTCTCTTGTGGCACCACCGCCTAGGTCACATGTCCCAGCACGGTCTCGTCCTTGGTCTCCCCGGTTCGTTCCCCGAGTTTCCCTCCTCCCCCGCCCCACCGTGCACACCTTGCGTCGAGGGCCGGCTTCGCCGTGCCCCTCACTCCTTCTCGTTTCCCCCTACCGCCGCGCCGCTGCAGACCCTGCACATGGACGTCTGGGGCCCCGCCCCCGTCCATGGGCCGCGTCGCGAGCGCTACTTCCTCATGCTTGTCGACGACTTCACGCGCTACACCACAGTCTTTCCCCTGGAGCGGAAGGCCGACGTGTCGACGCCCTCATCCCCTGGCTTGTTGCTGCGCGTGTCCGCCGTGGTCTCCCTGTCTTGCGTCTTCACTCCGACCGTGGTGGCGAGTTTGCCTCAGGTGTCCTTGGTCGCTTATGTCGTGCGGAGGGCATCACCCAAACGTTCACCTTGCCGGACTCCCCGCAGCAGAATGGGGTCGCTTAGCGACGCATCGGCTTGGTCATGGAGGTGGCGCCGTCTCTTCCTCCCCCGTTGTCTCCTCCTCCACCGCCTCTACAGCTGCCGTCGCCGCCGCTGCTGCAGCCGTCGTCTCCGCCGCAGCCGCCGTCACAACTGTCGTTGCAGCCGCCGCCGCCGTTGTCGTCGCCGCAGCAGTTCGTGGACTCTGGGGGTGCTGGCGTTGAGGTGGGTTCTAGTCCCGGGGCTCCTGTCGTGGCTTGTCCCGGCGGGCCTGGGGGGGGTCCCGGTGCTGGCGGGGTTTTGCGTTCTGGGGGTGCCCCTCCTGGGGGTGCCGGCGTGGAGTGGTCCGGAGGTAGCTGAGGAGCAGCTTGCGGCCCTGGTGTTGGTGTTGTGTCGCCGCAGCAGCAGTCCCCGCCGGTGTCCGCCCTTCGCCTGCTCGACCTTCCGTCCCCTGCCTCTGCGTCTGTTCCTCTCCCGCCGTCCCCTCCTCTTCCTGTCTACGGCCCTGTGTTCCCTCCGCCGGACTCGTCCCCGGCTCGTCTCCCCCCTCGTTCCCCTCCTGTGTCCCCTCCTCTGTCTCCTGACCCGACGCCTCCGTCTCACGTCTGGTCTCGCCGTCCCTCCCGTGCTCGTCCTGTCTCCCCTGTCGCGCGCTCTCACCCTATGTTGCTCCATTCCCACGCGTCTTGTCCTCCCCTCCTACCGTCGCCTCCTCCATCTTCTCTTGCCGTTGCGCCTCCTCCCCTGTCTGACTACTTTCGAGCTGCTCGCCCTCTTGTTCCTCGGGTCCTTGCCTCTCTCGTTACCGACCCGTCTGTTCCGGTGTCGAGTCTTGAGGCCCTTGACTACGCCACCGCTCTGGTCTCCGACCCTGCCTGTCCTCCGTCTGTCGGGGGTGCTCCTGCCCTCGGCAGTGACGTCCTGGAGGACCGCCAGTTTGAGCTTGCTTTCCTGTCCGAGGCTGCTCCCCATCTCTGTTC